CCGGTCGGGAGAGCGACCTGGTTGGGACCTTGAAGGTGTCCGGCTTTGTCCGGGGACAGACCCTCAACGTGAACAGCCTGGTGCATATTGTGGGGCACGGAGACTTCCAGATGAGCCAGGTGGATGCCCCCCCCGACCCCCTCACTTTGAACCCCCGCGTGGTTAAAGGACAGAAGAGGAGTCAGGACATGGAGGTACAGGTGTGTGGGAGGTCAGGGCTTTGCCGGTCCCGTTAGAACACGATGTTTCTAAACTTTCATCAGGAAAATACAGCTGGGTGTATGTGGTCAAGGGGAGGGGAAAGGGAGTTGTATCAGAGCCGGCTGGGCCGTGTTCTGCCACTGAGCTGAGGTTCCTTGCCCACAGCATGTAACGAACGTTATGTTACGATGTAATGAATGTGATAATGAAGGGACTTTCGCCTCAGACTGGTTGCTAGCTTGAGTTAGGTGTATTCACAGCTGGGAACTCTGCTCTTGCCCTTCAGGATGACTCTCTAAATGGTACCGATGAGATGGAGGAAGATGTTAAGGTCCTGATGAAGGCAGATCCAAACAAACAGGAGTCTTTGCAGTCAGAAGTGGTTCCTGATCCTATGGAAGGGGAACAGACGTGGCCTACTGAAGAAGAACTGCAAGAAGCAGAGGGTGAGTAGCAGCAATACTTCTGTACCTTTTCCTTGTCCCTGTTAAGAGGGTTGTTAGAAATTCCCTGTCACCAGGATGGCTGAGGGTGGCTGTGAAGAAACACGCTAGTTGGGAGCCCAGGACTTCCATTCCATCACTTGACTACCAGGCTGTGTGGTTTCCCTGGCAGTTAGCAGGGTTACATTTTTAGCTGCCTTTTCTGGGTCCTGACAAATTCTGTGCTGGGAAACAGTGATTCTGGTCTAGAGCTGATCTTGGCTGTCCCGGTGTCAATGTTGCTGAGGGAAAGGAGAATTGTTCCTGTATTAACTATTGGCGGGAATCCCACAGCTTCTCTGAAGGCAAACAGGAGGGTGGTGAAGGTCCCCAAAGGCACATCCAAGTACCAGGCTGCCTGGATTGTGGATGATGGAGAAGAGGGTGATCAGGAAGATGATGACGATGAAGATGATGACATTGATGATGATATGATGGAAGAGGCAGTTTCCCAGGTACCTCCAAGAGCTGATACTGCAAGTGGTCTCCAGGGCGTTATTGCGTATCCTAGGACAATCCTGTCGTCCTGGCTTGCTCCATGCAAGGGCACAACACAGAGCCAGGACTTGCCTGGATTTCCATTGTTACATCTCTCACGTGTATCATGTTGCTTCTTTGGCCTGTTAGATACCGAAATGAGGGACTGTGGTGGAGCTTGGGGCATAATTCAAACAGTGTGAGCGCACGCGGGGTTTGCAGTGCTGCATGGACATCAACAGAGCGCGTGTGCTCATGGGCTCTGTGCTGTCCTGTGTGTCAGGAGGGGGAAAGCAGCGAGGAGGAAGAGGAACCTGCAGAGGAGGAATGTGAGACCATGACCATTTCTGAGTGCTTGCGGGACGACCAGTACGACGAGAAGGTGGAGGAAGATGAACAGATGTTGGAGAGATACAAACAGGAGAGAATGGATGAAATGTTTCCGGATGAGGTGGACACGCCACGTGACGTACCTGCCAGAGTCCGGTAAGAAGCAGGATGCTTTGCTGGGAGGGGAGCTGGAAGGCACCCTTTTGTCTAGTTTGGTGAGATAAGGCAGGAAGCCTGTGATGTCTTAGCCGTGGTGTCTGAACCTGGCTGAAGGACTCTTCTGAAGACTCACTCCTAGGCTCTGAGGCTTCCAGGGGAGGCACTAGACAGGGAGCAGTGGGTGGGCCTGGGCAGCTCCCTGGGGCAGGGAGAGCCGGATCCTGACCTGAGAGAGGGAGGAGGATGGCAGAGCCCTGATGCAAGGGCAGGTTGTCTGGGGACTTGGCTGCTCTTTCTAGCTCTCCCTGCACTAAGATCTTCTCTGAGGGCTAATGTTTGCTTTGCTCTCTTTGCCGTCTCTGAAGGTGCGACCACAGAAGGTGCTGGCCAGACACCTCGATTTGTGAAGTAATTTGTCTTTCCTGTTATCTGTCCTTTAGGTTCCAGAAGTACAGGGGGCTGAAGAGCTTCCGGACTTCTCCATGGGACCCCAAAGAGAATCTCCCAAGGGACTACGCCAGGATTTTCCAGTTCCAGGACTTCTCCCGAACCAGAAAGCACCTCTTCCGGCAAATTGAGAAAGAGGAGACTGAAGGAGCCTCGGTAACTCCCTTTTCTCTTGCTGATCTCTTCCCCTACTGTGTTCTCTTGCTCCTAGTAGGAAGGACTTGGCAGGGCAGTGGCTGAGTTCTCTGTCGAGAGAAGTATTCGCAACCGATCCTCTCTTGGCAGGTTGGCTGGTATGTTACACTTCATGTCTGCAATGTCCCTGTCTCGGTGATGGAGAGCTTCAGAGAAGGGAAGCCCCTAGTCCTCTTCTCACTGCTTCCCCATGAACAAAAGGTAACTAAGTAGAACCCTGCTGATCTCTTGTAGGTGTGCAGCTCCTTGTCCGATTCCCTCAGGCTGCGTGGTTTGGAGAGGTTCTGGCTCCAGAGGGTTTGGGTTGAAATCTCCCTGCTTTGTTCACATTTCAAAGTAGGCCAGAGCAGGCTGAAGCTGCCAGGGGTGTTTAGGCTTAAGTGTCTGAGCCTGGCTGAGGTGTCTGCATTGGTGACCAGCGGTCCTTTGGGAAGCCATCGTCAAGGGCATTTGTCCCTGCTGCAACATCCCGTTGCTTTCTGCTCTGGCCACCGTCGTTTTCCAGCCCTGCTGTCAGCCCCTCACTGTGCTGCCTCTCCTGCAGATGTCTGTGTTGAATTTCCTGGTGTGTCGGCATCCGAGCAACAGCGAGCCAGTGAGGGCAAAGGAGGAGCTGATCTTTCACTGTGGGTTCAGGCGCTTCCGAGCATCCCCCCTGTTCTCCCAGCACACCTCAGGTTTGTGAGGGACCGGTGGCATGGGCACGGGTGTGCCAGGAGGGTGGGGCTGGAGTTTCTAGGGCAGGAAGCCTGTGATGTCTTAGCCGTGGTGTCTGAACCTGGCTGAAGGACTCTTCTGAAGACTCACTCCTAGGCTCTGAGGCTTCCAGGGGAGGCACTAAATAGTGGGGAGTGGAAGGGCTTGGGCAAGGTGGCTCACTGGTCCAGGCAAGGCGGTGGCAGGCTCCACACAGTGAGCTGGCAGCTCAGAGGATCACCTTCATTCCCAGATACTCTGTGCCGGCAGAGGAGGGGTGTCTGTCACCTGTTTTCCTAAAGCACAGAGTCCGTTTGCCGGGAAAGAATGGGCTCGATGGGGTTTCCCAGAGCTCTGAGGACTGCTGTGGGCCTGAACTTGATCGTTGCCGTTCTGTCCTAGCTGATAAGCACAAGCTGGAGCGTTTCCTGCGCCTGGATGCTGCCCTGGTGGTGACTGTTTATGCTCCCATCACTTTCCCTCCTGCCTCAGTGCTGCTTTTCAAACAGAGAAGTAATGGTAAGTTGGTAAGTGCTGAGGAAGTGGTGTCTGGGAAACAAACGTTAGCCGGCTGTTCCCATACCCTACTCTTGCATCTATCCAGAAAGTATGACTTGAAAAAGCTGTCCCCTTCATGCTGTTTGAGAAGATTAATGCATTTCCACCCCCATTATCACTGGCACCTTTGTTTGTCCCTGCTGTGGGGTTGCTCTGGGCCTGGAACGCTTTGGGGAAGGGAGTCATGGTGTGGGGGGAGGTGATGGAGGTACCTTCTGTGGTGCTGCCCTGGCGTGTTAGTGACTCTGTCTTGCAGGAATGCACGACCTCATCGCCACGGGTTCTCTGCTTTCTGTGGACCCAGACAGAATCGTCATCAAGCGGCTGGTGCTCAGTGGCCATCCTTTCAAGATCTTTACCAAGATGGCTGTCGTGCGATACATGTTCTTTAACAGAGGTACAGCCTGTCTCTGTGTGGTGGGAAGAGGGGATGCGGAAGCAGAACTCCTGCCCCTGTTGTGTTGGTGCAGCAAAGCCCGTTTCTTACCTGCCTTTTGTGTTTTGATCTCCAGAGGATGTGATGTGGTTTAAGCCAGTGGAGCTGAGGACAAAGTGGGGTCGTAGAGGACACATCAAAGAGCCATTAGGTAGGTTTGGTTCTGTTTCTCTCTGTGATGCTGGGCAGGATGTGGTCCTCCTGGGCAGGAGAGACAGCTAATGGCCTCTTCTGCTCTCTGCCTAGGGACCCATGGTCACATGAAGTGCCACTTCGATGGACAGCTAAAGTCCCAGGACACGGTGCTGCTGAACCTCTACAAGCGCGTTTTTCCTAAATGGACTTATGACCCCCATGTTCCGGAGCCCGTGCCGTGGGTGAGGAGCGAGAGCGCGCTGCCGGTGCAGGAGGTGGAAATGGAATAAGTCTTCAGCGTGGCTAATGCAGTTTGTGCCTTAGCTCCCCGGATGCTGTTCTCAGCCCGTGCACAGCGAGGACAGCACTGATGTTTTGGACGTATTACTGCTGGGGTCTGTACAGGGGCGGCTGTCTCACCAGCTGCTGCTCAGGTACCAGCTACAGCTATTTATTTTAATGGAAAATGTTTTAAAAAACATCTAAGTGCCTCTGTCTTGGTGGTGGCCGGCTGTGGAGGCCAAATGGGGGAGGCTGTGTGCACCCCTTCTCTTGTGAACCCCGTGGCCCACTGGGGCTGTTGTCTTTCCTTCCTGCCCTGCCATAGCGGTGGGTCTGGGGATTTTGCTGTTTTGAGGACAGGAATTTGCTGGAAGTTATTGTTGACGCTGAGAAAGAAAGGTGGAGTAGCAGGTGGGGAGAGTGACCGAGCGCAGCTCACTGGAGGCCTGTCCCAGAGCAGGGTGGCTGGGGAGGGGAGAACAGGCAGTGCTTTGCTTCCAGCCCCCGCCCCTCAGTAGCGACCCTTTGCTTTGAAACCAAGCGACTCGGTGCTGTAGAGATCAACGCCAGCTTCCCTTAGCCCTCCACAAAAACGTTCAACGTTTGGGGTTGCTCATCTGTTTTTAGTAGCGCACAAACCAGACTGTAGAAATTCAGAGTGAGGTTTCCGTTGTTTGAGACACCGCTCCGTTCTCATTCCGCTTTCCCAGAGAGGTCTGTGAGCCAGGTCAGGGAGCTCAGGTCCACGTTTCCCCCGCACAGCACGACGCAAACGTTCTCCACGTCCCGGGGGACTGCCTGGAACTGCTCCGAGAGCACAGCTGCCACTCCCACACCCGCTGTTGGCTCAATCAGCAGCTTCATCCTTTCCCACACCAGCCGCGTGGCTCGCTGTCGGGACAGAGCAGCAGCTGTCATCCCGGCAGCAAGTACAGGCTGCTCCAGGGCTGCGGAGGGCACTGCGTGTGCGCATCTCTCTGCAGCGCTCTGGGAAGGGAGAGCAGAGCTTCCGCCAGCCCTTTCCAGCTGGAGACAGCGTGGGTGTTGCACAGCTGTGGTGGTGTGCAGGGGCTTGTGCTGCCCTGGGAGAGCGGAGGGGCAGAGCATGGATGGAGGCAGCTGCCCGCTGGCAGCTACCGTGAGAAGGCAGCCGGGAGCGTTTACCTTGATTTCTTCCTCCGAGACTGTCAGGACGTCATCAACCAAATCCCTGATGATGGGCCACGTGTTTGGTCCGATGCTGGTTTTAACTGCATCTGCGATGGTATCCGGCGGGTGAAGGTTGGGGGTCAGTTCCCCTCTTACCTTGGACTGGTAACAGTCATCCGCGTTGCGCGGCTCAGCAGCAAACACTTTCACATCTGGTCTCAAAGCCTGCGGAGAGCAGGAGGAGCCGCTCGGTTTAAACTAGTGTGTGCCTGTCCGCTGTTGCTGCACGCGCAGGGGGCCAAGTAGGCCGTGCTGCTGCCGTGCAGACCCCAGGCACACAGAGATTTCCACAGCAGGATTTCCACGGCTGCTGCCTGTCTTTGGGAGCCCTGCCCTTCCCGCGGGGAGATGGCAGTCACCGCTTCCCGGATGAGCTGTTGCCTACCTTGATGGCAACTGCTATTCCTGCAATCATTCCTCCGCCTCCGACGGGAACCACCACTGCATTTACCTCGGGCGCCTGTGCAGAAAGGAAGTGTGAGTGCTCCCTTTTGCTGCACCCCTGCCTGCGAGGAGCAGAGCCCTGGGCTGGGTCCAGGCTATGCGTTTCCCTCACCTGCTCCAGCACCTCCAGGGCGATAGTGCCTTGCCCCGCGATCACCGCCAGCTCCTGGTTGGGGTGCACCATGACTCCTCCTGTCTCCTGGACTATGCGAGCTGCCGTCTCGGCTCTGGACTAAGGGAAAGAGTGCAGATGGCCGCCTCTCAGTCTGGCTGGGCCATGTCCCTGGCTGGTCTCCCCCGTGCCTTACCTTGTCGCTGGGCTCGCACGGCACCAGCGTGGCACCGTAGGCGCGGATGGCGGCTTGCTTACAGCGCGGGGCTGTCCAGGGCACCGCAATGTAGGCAGGAATCCCTGTGTGACGAAAGAGGAGGCAAATCCAACAGCCAGAAAGCCACAAGCGGCCTATTAGCACTGCAGGAGCGACGTGCGCGCAGCGTGCGCTGTGCCTTGCCTATGCTAGCTCCTGTTCAGGAGAAGGACACCCCTGCTTATCTCCAGGGCACCAGCTCTGCGTTTACCCCTGGCCCTGCGCCTGCTGCCTGGCTGCTCTCTGAGCTGGGGCTGGAGGTCGGGGTACGCGTTACCTTCCGCCTGGGCAGCACAGGCGAGCGCCTGCCCGTGATTCCCACTGCTGTGCGTCACGACAGCCCGGGGCAGCCCCCCTCCAGCGCGCTCGCTTTCCTCAACAAGGCTCCTGACTGCGTTCAGGGCGCCGCGGATCTGGAAAGACGGCGCAGCACCCTCAGTGCCACCGCCCGGGAGCCCGTGTGCTGGGCTGTGCGGGGTAGGTGGGGTGTTTCCTTCCTTGCAGCCTCCCCTGTGCCTGGGGAAGCGGTGCAGCCCCCGTGCTGGGCGGCAGGAGCCACGTCTGCTTCGAGGGCTGGTGAGTGCTGGCGGAGAGTGAGTTTCTCTGGCCCAAGAAGCCACCTTTGCCCCGGGGGCTGGCCGAGCGCCGAGCCGGGGGCCG